TTTATTTAAATGTATTTGAAAAACAGCTGGAAGAAAACAATGGATACTTAGTCGCTGGAAAGGTAATAATTAAAAGATTTTCCAGATTTTAACATAACATAAAATTGTTGTATTTAGCTCGAATTACATATTTCCAAAATTAACATAGGGTAAATGCACCAGTGTTATTTATTTTACTATTGTTGTAAAACAAGTTAATATTTACAGTACAATATTTATAACTTTTGGACTTTATTCTGTTGGAGTTTTTTTTTTTTTTTTCAAGCTGATTATTAAAGAATTCATAACTCCTCTAGAAATTTGCATAAAAATTTTTATATAATTGTTATTTCAGGTGCGAAAAGCAAATTTAAAATTTGTTCTTTCATAAAAAAATGTTTACTCTAGATAAGGAGGAGGTTTAGAAAAAATATTCAACAGATATCTATAGTAAGAGTAAAATATTAAAATTAATTTGACTAAGTGAACATGCAAAGTTGAGGTAAAGATTTTTTAAAGAGAAAAACTAAGTTTATATTATGGATAAAAATATTTCTTTTTGTTCATAATTTTTTGCCTAAATTGCCTGCATTAAAGTAGTATTATAATTAATAGTTCATTAAAAACAGCATGAAATGCTCAACGATTCCCTCGCTTATAGTATGCATGCACAATTTTTAGTTTCTGAGATATTTTTTTATTCAATATAAAAATTAGTCAAGATTCAATACCAGGGCATCCTGGACATTTTATGAACAGAGCACAAAGAACAGCACAATTTTTAGTTTCTGAGATATTTTTTTATTCAATATAAAAATTAGTCAAGATTCAATACCAGGGCATCCTGGACATTTTATGAACAGAGCGTTCATATGATTTAGCATCCTCCATCGTGTTGGCGTGACACTTGTGAAGTAGTTCTTTTTCTTTATTTAATTGATACTTTTTTTTTTTAACTTTTAGCATTCTTATTAAATATTCCAAGAAGTCCAGTACCGTTAAACTTTATTTATAGATTGTTATGATACTTTTTGATTTCATTTCATGTTTACTTTTCTGTAAACAAGCATGTGGCTCTAATTTTAATTTGTTTCATTTATTAAATATAAAATTGGAAAAGTGGATTTATGAATTATTATCATATATTAAGTAGTTCAAAATGGTCTTTAAAACTTTTTTTAATGTTTTTATTTTTTAAGTATTTTATTTATTCATTATAATTATTTTTATTAATTATTCATTTATAAGACTTATGAATGACCATTGCATTAATTTTAATATATTTTAATTTTGCTCTTTATATTTAATTTTTTTTCAGTTTACTTGGGCTGACATTGTGGCTTTGACTCTTGTTTTCTATATAAGCGGTATATTCAAAGTAGATATTTTAGCGAATTTTCCAAAACTGAAGGAACACCGACAAAAGATTTCTGAATTGCCAGGAATCAAAGAATGGCTTGAAAAGCGACCTGCAGATCCAGAAGATTATAAGCCTTTATTTTTTTAATTATATCTCAAATATAATTCCTTGTGAATATAACTGAAAGTAATGATATCGTAAATGCCAATCTGAAGATATAATATTATGCAAAATATAAAAGCCTAATGACAATGTATTATTATAAATAAAGTATAAGAATATAACAATTCATTCATTATTATTATTATTATTCATTATTAAGTTTTTCATAAGCTTCTGATAATACTTATTATTGATAATACTATGCATTTTCTCCTAAATAATTGACGGATGTATATATATATATATATATATATATATATACTGTCGAAAGTGTTGTTCTCTTCTTAAAATAGCTGCTGTTGGGAACGTTTTCCTGAATGAAGGTGTTGATTATTTGGTCTTTGATTTGATCTGAATCTAATTATGATCGGAATCGGGAATGAGTTTTTACTTAGAGAACTTCCATTTCTAAGCTGCAGGGCCATTTATAGTAATTATTCTCAGATTTTGACAATGTTGATAAAAATTTGCGTTCATTGACCGTAGATATCGACCATATCACTTAATCAAATTATTAAGTTTAGGTTCTCGTTGGAGTTACAATCTGACGTTCTTTAATTTCTTAAATAATACGTTTTGATGCACTGTTTAGTATTAATACATGGACAAAAATAAGATGAGATAAATCTGTATTTTTTAGCTGTAAAAAGTTTTCTCTTGGTGACCCGTGTTAGCAATTTAGTTTTTTACATGTCCAAATTCATATACAGGGAGCCACGAGCGGATCCAGGATTTAATTTTGGGGAGGGGGCTTCAGCCCGAAAGATTTTTTTTCATATATATAACGATAATTAATTTAGAAAAAAAGGGAAAGAAATGAACTACCTATATGAAATGGTGTTTAAGTGATTCTTGAAGTCCTATTAAATGTAATTACACGAACAATCATACTTTAAGAGATAGTTTTTAATATTTTTTTTCTATAAAACATGGTTATATTTTACCGTTTTGAGGAGGGGGGGGGCTTCAGCCTGAAAGCCCCCTCCCCTCGGAAATCTGCCTGTGCAGGGTGTCTCGTAAGTATAGGTAAATATTTAAAGTAGTGATGGCAGAACTCAATAAATACAAAAAAGTTTATATGAACAGTGGTAAGATTTTCAGCAGGAAAGTAGAAAATTAAACTTTCGTGATTTTTTATGTGTCACGTTTTTTGTTGAATAGGAAGTAATAACTAAAAAACTAATTAATTTAAGTAATTAACGATTGGCTTCACTGTAAACTAGACTAAATTTACTTTAAATGAAATTATAGTTTGCTTTATCCACGGACTATAAAGCAAACTGTAAATAAAATAAAGAATATAGATTTTTTTTTTAAACTAGTAGTCCGTGGTACAGACTCCTTTTTAACTTTGTATATAGTTTGATAAACTATCAACATCCGACTGAAACTTCGTAAATAGCTTCATCTCATCGTGACCTACAAATATTACATTTAAGAAAATTCTCGGAATTGGGGCGTTTTCAATATGGAGGTCGGCAAACTTTTTCTATTTAATTAGGTAGTAAAAACCCATTTGCTTTCCACTTTAATCGTAAGATAATTTGAGCACAAAGTCATGAAAAAAGATGGCCTTCGAAAATATTGAGCCGTTTGGCGTGACCTTCACCCCCAAAATACAATACAAAAACCCCATAGAATAGAATAGAATAGAACAGAAAATCATTTTATTCTGGAACGAAGTTCCTTCAAAATAACAAAAAATTACAAAATTAAAATGTTATATCTGGCCAAATAAAAACAAACATAAAAGTAAAGATAAAAATAAATCAGTAAAAAAAAATATTAGTTATACATACTATATACAAAATAAATAAAAAAAATCTATATACAAACTCTTGAAACCTTGCCAAGACACTTGAAACTATGTACAATGGTAAAATATAAATATACACTTTTAGAAAAAATATAGAAAAAAATAAATGTAAATTCTTCTTAGCAGTAAACTCTGTGTTTCTGTTGAAAAAAAAAAAAAAAGAAAATCGAATCTATAATAAGTATTTAAGTTATGAACTATATGTGAATATATTATTATGAATAATATGTAATTTTACATAAACGGTTAGCTGGTATTTGACTATTTTTGGCACAGGAATTGGAATAGGAGGGTTTTGAATGTAGATAGGGATGAAGAATGCCGAATTTTGATAGGAAGGGAATTCCAAAAATTAACAGAGCGAGCAATAAAGGAGTTTTGAAACGAGGCAGATCTGTGAGAAGGAATGTAAAGATTGGAAGGTCAAGATCTTGTGAAAAGGGAGTGAACTGAGGGCTTGAATTGGAGAAGGTTGTAAGCGTAAGAAGGACGATGATTGTTGATGATTTGGTAGAGGAACGTACCTAGGAAATATTATCTTCGAATGGAGGGGAAGAGCCACTTTAACTCAGTATAGTGGTAAGACAATTGGGAGTATCTCGGGGCACCAATTACAAATCTTACGCAGCTGTTCATAAGTCTTAGTTCATAGAATAACGAAAAAGTACAAAATTCAAGTATTATGTCTGGCCTAAGTAAAAACAAACATAAATAGTAAAAAAAAAGAAAAAAAAGTAAAGAAAATATTATTTAAACATTCTATGTACAAAATAAGAAAAATCTATATACAAAACATTTGAAACCATGCCAAGACACTTAAAACTATGCACAGTGGTAAAATATAAGTATACAGTTTGAAAAAAATAAATTACATTATTATTAGCAATAAACTCTGTGTTTCTGCATAAAAAAAAAAAAAAAAGGAAAAGAAGACGAATCTGATAATAAGTATTTAAATGATGAATTATGTGTAACTATATCATTATGTGAATCATTTTGAATAATATGTAAATTTACATAGAAGGTTAGCGGGGGGTGTCTGACAGTTTTTGGGATAGAAATTGGAATAGGAGGGTTTTAAATGTAGATAGGGAGGGAGAATGCCGAATTTTGATTGGAAGGGAATCCCAAAAATTAACAGAGCGAGCAATAAAGGAGTTTTGGAACGAGGCAGATCTGTGAGAAGGAATGTAAAGGTCGGAAGGTCGAGATTTTGTGGGGTGGACTGAGGACTTGAATTGGAGAAGATTGGAGGCGCAGGAAGGACGTCATATGTGCCAAACGGCCCAATATTTTTGAAGGCCACCTGTTTCTTGACATAGTACTTAAGTTATCTTACGATCAAAGTGGAAAGCAAATGGATATTTACGAGTTCTTACATGACGATCTCTAGATTGAAAACGCCCCAATTCCGAGAATTTTCATAAATAAAATATTTGTAGGTTAAGATGATATGAAACTATTTACGAGTTTAAGCCGGATGTTAATAATTTGATAAAAAGGAGGTCTGTACCACGGACTATTAGTTAAAAAAATATTCTATATTCTTTATTCTATTTTACACATTTTCATGTTTTTTTCCTCAAGTCTTTGCTTTTCAATAGAATATATTAGTTTTTTGTTAAAAACATGCGTTTATATTATTACATAATTTACTCGTTCACGGTTATAAGAATATTATCTCTGGTGTTTAATTTCATAATAAATAAATGAAGAACACATTACTTATTGATAATTATGGCCTGTCAGTAATTTTTTATATTTTGGAAGCGATCAGTTACGTTTCGTTCAATTAGGCCTCAGTTGACCTTGTCAACATTTTATCCCCACCCTTTATCAACAACTGCAGGCACACTAATCTTTATATTAAACTGACCGTCGCTGTGGACACATCAAGTGAGTTTTTTATATGATACATTCATCTATATATATATACTGTATTAAAAAATATAAAAAGTTTGACAATAATAGTGTTTTATTAATGCAATATTATTAATAGTTTTATTAAAACATTTTTAAGTCTAATTTGGTTTATTTTTTGTATTTTTTTTTTGTTCCTTAACGAAGTTAAAAACCATTAATAGAAAATAAGTGAACATTACAGATTATTACAATACTACTTCCTATATCGCCGTTAAGTGGCATTTCATAAAATTAATAAATATTAACAAATTTGAACAATTTTTCCTTTGAGAAATAAGATTATTGCGTGTTTTGTAACTATATTTCGTATATAAAAGGGTTTGTTCTAATTTAATGCATGTTCGTTTTTTTTTTTTCGCTAAATAAAGTGGAAATTAAAAAAAAATGTTTGAACGTTAACCTATATCAAAAATAGTCTTAGTATCTTTTTGCAATAAACCGAAGATATCAATATCATATATATTTTATTAAATTAAAAAAATAACACAATCTGAACTAAAGAATATACTATAATAATATTTTTTTTTTATTATTTAAAACACTTTATTCAGAAATATTACAATTTGTCACAGTTTAAGGACACTTATAATAGAGTTCAGAGATTGCATTCATACCGTATATACAAAAATATAAATAATAAAGTAATAACAAAAGAATAAGAAAAAAGAACAAAAGAGTAAAGAAAAATAAATATAAAAAATATAATAATAATAGTACTATAATACTAATAAAATAATATTATAGTAATATAATATTAAATATCTATGATCTTATGAAATTTTATTGCATAATATTCGCCATACCCACTTGAAACTCTCGCAATGGTACTTACGTCCATTAAAAATATACCTTTTCATCACTGGGTCAATAAATAAATTTTCTTTCAACAAAATCTTAATGATTTTAAATATATTAGAATTGATTTTCTTCAGACTGAAAAACTCATGTAAAACATGATTTTTAAGAAATGTTATTAATAAGAAACACGATTTCTTTTTTAAAAATGAACGTATGCCACTTTAAAAATAAACTGCTCATTTACGCAATTTAACGAAACAATAGGTATATGGCAATTCACCGTACATAAGTATCTCTTATCTTAATCATCAATGTACATATTTATATATAATTGATCAACGAATTTATTATATTTATTATTGCATTCTCTGATTAGAATTTTCACGATGTTTGATTAACGGATACTCGAAAACCCTTATGTTTATAAAGTTGCCCATTCGATCTGTTCAATCACGAGTGGAACAGTTATAAATGTAACTGATTATAAATGTAACTGTATCTTTTTAATGAAAGAAACTGTTCCAAATAACCAGATAGCTACAGAACTCCCCACCACTACACTACGGCATGCTCAGCTTAGTATTATACTGACTGTCACTGAAGATACTCCAAGTGAGTTCAAACCTTATTATTCTTGTTTATATCTTGTGTTCCGTATTTAGAAATGTTGAAAATAATTCTGTTTTATTTAATTATATTTACAAGCCTTATCTTATTTAGTACCCAATCATTTTTATCTTTTTTTTTTCTTTATTTTTATCATTTCTTAAACAAAGATAAAAAAATACTAATTGAATATAAATGTATAACAAATATTATTTTGATATATCAAGGTGAGAATAGTTGGATTCTTTATAATTTATTTGAATTAAACATAAGCAGCTTTAATTCGAATGCATATAAATGTTCTAGAAATATGTTTTTTGAAAACTTACTGTTTATGGCTTAAAACAACCCCAACTTCCAACCCCACCTCACTGCACGACTTCCGTCCTATTTCTCTCTTATTCAACCTTTCAAAGCCGTTAGAACGCCTTGTCCAAAATCAACTCTCCAACTTCTTAGAGGAACGTCCCCTCATCAACCAATCCAATCTGGTTTTCTACCTGGTTAGTCAACGCAATCCGCTCTCCTTAAAATAACTTATGACCTCCAAAACTCCATTGAACACCAAAACCTTACTATCCTCATCCTTCTAGATTTTTCCAAAGCGTTTGACACTCTTGATCATACCATCCTCCTTACTAAATTGCATAATCTTCCTCTATCCGATAGTGCCCTGCGTTGGCTCAAATCGGTCCCCGTATGTAATCGTCCCAGGTCAACCTCCATCTGAGACCCTCCTGCGGTGATAAGGGGATGCCGACCTCTCAGTTCCTGCTCAATGCCATCAAGTAGAGCCTCAAATTCTTCTTGTGGTGAACTACGTGATGCATAGACACTATAGATGAAAATATTTTTCACCTTGGTCTATACAAATACTTTTCTTCGAATCGGTTCGACTTCCTATATGAAGTGATCCTGACCCAAATCGCTGCTAGACTACAAAGGTCCAGGACCCGTCGACGCCTCCCTACTGCTCGTATTGTAAAGCAACATCGATAAACTTCTCACTGATAGTTTGCTAACAGAGGTTCTGGGCAGCTTCGCAATAGTTAAGGTTAAGCTGTAAAAACCTCATTTCCGGCGCTTAGTAACAGATAAAACTGCTCGCTGGTAGACTGGACAACTAAAGCTGCCGTCGGGTGCTTGCGTTTCTTCCATCATTGATAGCAGGCATTGCGCCGGCAGTACACTCTTTTAATGGATGACCTACTCCGCCATATCGAAAATAGAGTTTTTTTATGTCGGGTCTCTTGCAATATTTCGCCAAGTTACCGCAGTCAAAGCATCGGAAGCATCTCTGGGGAGAAATTTTTTCCCTTAGCCGGCTGCTTATCGAGCCAACTCGGATGTTCTCCTTTTCTTGCTGGTTCCATAGGCAATACGACTACTGCTATCTGTGTACCACCGTAAGCCTTGCGAAGTGACTTTACAACAGAAATATCAAAGTTTTCTGCACCTTCAATTTGATTTTGAAGAGCTTTGTGCACTTCTAGGCCACTGTCAGTTTATCGAGGTCCTTCAACTCAAAAGCAACAAAGTCTCTCTTGCAGGTGACCTCCGTTTTGTCAGAAACTTTTTCTGCTATCGCAGTACGAATTTATTCTGTCTTTTCTTGTATTTTTCTATCTACCACAAGAACCCGTGGTACACTTTCGGAGTTATTGCACGTTATCGCTTATATCTTAGAGACCAGGATCGCTTTTTACTGTGCTCAGGATATCCATGTACGTCGAGCCCTCATTTGTTGTGTCCACCAAAGCATTTGGGCGAGGAGGTCTTGATCGGATTTTCTGCTTTATAGTAGCCTTATTTTTCCTTTTCTTCTTAGTGTTCACCGTTTGCCATTGTTCACCGGATTCATTTCTTGGATTGATTTCAGCTGAATGCGAGATCTCTGTTTTTTCCTGGCTCTTCGATGTCTTTCTCTCCTCGGTCTTTTTTCGAATGCCTGCTGTTATTACTTGAGACTCTTCATCCAAGGATTGAAATAACTTCTGCTTTGATTTTATTATTTGTATTATTCTTCATTAATCCATGAAGTTTAGTAAGTTCTCCAAACGATTCCCATAATTGCTTCCTCCTCTCTTCACTTGAAGTATAAGTAACTACAGTGGCCATGTGATCCACTACCAGCAGCACTGCGGTTGCTGAATAATGACATGAGAACCCGCACTCCCAGACGCCGGTACTGGGGATCCAACCTCCTGCACCGTAAGGTTTGTCAGTTTAACGTGACTCCCCATGTTTGGTTGATTATTGGGGGTTCCTTCCCGTAATCTGTTTGATCCGCGAGAGGTATTTTATTTCCCTCTTGTCCTCTATTGCTAGCGAGGTTTCTCCCTATCCGCCACCTGGGGATGCGCCACGTATGGGTTTCAGACTCCCACTGTGGTGTGTAATATTTATAGTGGCGAATGAGAAGCATCTGTGAGATAGACCTAGAATTCGTAGGATTGGATTAACGTTGATCTAGCTTCTTTTGGTTTGGATGGCGTCCAGTAAAAGAATTATACATACAGAGATTGATGGTATCGGCATCGAACCTTCGGGTTCGCTAAGCCTTATTATTATTAGTATTTTTTTTACTATACTAAAATGTGCTTATGTTGGCAGGAAAATGGTGGTCAAATTGACTTACTTCGCAATGTCAGGGCTTGGAGACCCCATAAGGCTGTTACTGACTTTCTGTAAGATGGAATTTGAAGATATCAGGATTGGCAGGAAGGAATGGGAGAAACTGAAACCCAGTTAGATTATTTTACTATTCATTTTATGAATAAAAACGATAAATATTTATTAATATGTACGATATAATTCCAGCCTTAAAGTTGCCACATTTGCCAATGCTGGAAGTGGATGGAAAAACTTATTTTCAAGGGTATGCGATTTGCCGCTACTTAGCTCGAAAGGCAGGTCTCAACGGTTCTTCTGAAGAAGAAGGCCTTGCTATTGATGCAACTGTGGACACCTTGATGGATATGATAAAAAGTAACATAATATCATATATTAATTGAGATTAATAATATAATGTACTATTTATATTACATGGCAAATATACACCTTTGAGAAATAATACATAAAGATTAAGATTTTTCATAAATTATTATTTCACTATTTTGTAGTGTAGTAAAATATCAAATTTATCTATTTTTTCTAATAATACAGAACATGTGTTTTTTTCTTAGTTTTAATTTTTTTATTTTTAGGTTATTTTATTTTATTTATTGTATATACTTTTTGATTTTTATTTCTTGATATTCAGCTTCTATTTATTTTATATTGTTTGTACATACAGTGTGAATGTTATCCTATGCCGCCAATATGTGCCCCCTTAAAAAAATTTTGATATAAAACTAATATTAGTAGCAATAAAATAAATATTACCATAAAATCTCCTAATTTTCATAAGGTTTTAAGATAAAATGATCAAAATTCGGACAACCAGCCTTATTAGATAACAAAATTTTTCATATAGACAAGTTTTCAGGTATTTAACAATTATAAAATATTGAATTTTTTTTCTTCATAAAAGAGCTTCAAAAATTGAGAGGTATTATTTGAATATAAGCCTATAAAATAATAATAATGGACACTTGAAAATGATGAAGTACTTTTATTTAATTATTTTAAAGAAATCTCACTACTTTATTATAACTATTAAGAGTTGATATTATATTTTTTATTGAAAAAATACATTAACGCACAGGATTAATTTATTTTTATTTTGTTTAATAATCCACAATTGTTAAAATGTGTCATTTAAAATGAATTGAATGTACTTACGTAAGAAAAATATAACGTTTTATTAATTATTAAGTATTTAAATTAGATGAGTAGAATATTTTAATGTTTTTTTTTTTTAACCGTATGGATATAATTAAAAATACCTGAAAATACAAAACAATTGAAGACATTGTGTAATTGTATACAGTTTTTCAAAACTCATCTAACAAAAATCTAAGATTGTTGTTCTATAAATGTATTAATTATGGAACCCTGTTAAAAATCTCATTTGATTTAAATACCATTTTTTCTGTTATTTTCTGCCACATTTCTTGTTAGTTAGCTGCAATAAAATTTCAACTTACAGGTGTGTATAGATATTTCACAAACTATGGGAAACACTTACTCGACAAACAGCGACATTATTGCTTAACCAAACTATTAATTTTATTTCTCTGATACCGAGAGCAGATGAAAAAAATCAAAAGATGAAACAAAAATGCTAGCATAGTGAAATAATCATTTAGATGTTTGTTTGTATCATAGTTTGTAAAATGTCTAAACGCACCTTAAGAAAATAGATAAACATAACAGAAATACTTGAAAATTGGCACAGATAAATAATATGAATTATATCTAGAACATTGTCCATTTCAGAAACGGTTTTGGATTATTACCAGCCTGATTCTGAAGAAAGAAGTAAATGTTTAAAAGCTTCACTTGAAGTCACAATTCCATTTTATTTGAATGTGTTTGAAAAACAGCTGGAGGAAAACAATGGATACTTCGTCGCTGGAAAGGTAACAATTAAAAGATTTATTTAAACATATTTACTCATTTTAATATAACATAAAATTGTTGTGTTTAGCTGGAATTACATTTCCAAAGTTAACATAGGTTAAATGCACCAATAGCTGACATGCTTAAGGAGATTTCTTTGAACTTATATGTGTAAAAATTTAAATATTGATGTTATATATAAATAGTGATAGACTGAAAAGACTTATGAACAGCTGCGTAAGATTTGTAATTGGTGCCCCGAGATACTCCCAATTGTCTTACCACTATACTGAGTTAAAATGGCTCTTCCCCTCCATTCGAAGACAATATTTCCTAGGTACGTTCCTCTAAATCATCAACAATCATCGTCCTTCTTACGCTTACAACCTTCCCCAATTCAAGTCCTCAGTTCACTCCCTTTTCACAAGATCTTGACCTTCCAATTTTTACATTCCTTCTCACAGATCTGTCTCGTTCCAAAACTCGTTTATTGCTCGCACTGTTAATTTCTGGAATTCCCTTCCTATCAAAATTCGGCATTCTCCCTCCCTATCTACATTTAAAACCCTCCTATTCCAATTTCTATCCCAAAAACAGTCAGACACCCCCCACTAACCTTCTATGTAAATTTACATATTATTCAAAATGATTCACATAATGATATAGTTACACATAATTCATCATTTAAATACTTATTATCAGATTCGTCTTCTTTTCCTTTTTTTTTTTTTATGCAGAAACACAGAGTTTATTGCTAAGAATAATGTAATTTATTTTTTTCAAACTGTATACTTATATTTTACCTCTGTACATAGTTTTAAGTGTCTTGGCATGGTTTCAAATGTTTTGTATATAGATTTTTCTTATTTTGTACATAGTATGTTTAAATAATATTTTCTTTAGTTTTTTTTTCTTTATTTTTACTATTTATATTTGTTTCTACTTAGGCCAGACATAATACTTTAATTTTGTACTTTTTTGTTATTCTAAAGGGACTTCGTCCCAGAATAAAATTATTTTCTATTCTATTCTATTATATTTTGCATAGATTCATCTTATAGAAATATTCCTCACCTTAACAAGACATATTTCAAACCCATGAAACATTTATCTAAATTCTAAAAAAATAGTAAATATAGAAAATAATTTTGTTGCAATAGCACCTGACACTGTTTGATTTGGAATGTTCTTATAGCTGACTGGAATGAGAAAAAGGATGTAATTATGAGAAATAAAGTCTTGAAGTTTTGAATCCTTCATTTTCAATAGATATTAACAAATAGTATTTATAAAAGTAACTTTATTTCGTTTTCTGATTAAAATTTAATAATAAATGTTCGCCACTGTCAAGATCCTGTTTTTGGCATTAGGATAACCGTGTTTTTGCTGTATATTTAATCAAAATCACTAGCTACTTTTTTAATGAGGCAGTAGTGAATGGTCCCATTTGAAGATTATATTGAGTTTTATCTCTTAATTTATGAGAATACAGGCCTGTCAACTACTGATAAAAGTCCCCATCATTAGACTCTAGTAGCTGACACCCATTAAATTAATGATTCTTTCATCAAGATAAGTTAAAAACAGATAAAACATAATTTTAAAACACTCCAAAAAAACAATAAAACAAAAAATTAGGGATAAATCTCAGTAGTTAATGAGGAAAAGGTAAACCTAAGATATGGTGCCCTTACCGATAGTTGTTCCTGGGACAATAAGTGGATCATGAAGGACCTTCCTATTTTGCCACTGATTATTTTGGTTGCGATTTCCAGCAAGACTAAAGCAAAAGAGGCAAATATACAAGGAAAAAATGTTTTTTTTATTTTAATTTATTTTTTTTATTTTAATGAAATTTACAACTGCATTACATAGAAAATACAACAGGTAAATGTGACATTGGTAACATGACATGTACAACATGAAGAGAAACTACTCATTGGTAGAACTCAAATTAAAGTTCTATATTAGAAGGTCCCGAGGCCACCTTCTTTTCAGACTTTTCGGAGGGTTATCAGGGATCGAGGAGGAAGCAACGTTTGAAACGAGAGGATTCGGATGGTTATGCAGTTTGTTATGGAAGGATAGGTATCTGGATTGGGCCAAATAGGAAACATGTGGAACATTAAGGTCTTTATGGATGATTTTATTTGTGACAAAGTAAGGAGCGTTGAGGATTTTACGAAGGATTTTGGATTGTAAGGATTGGATACGAGAGGAATTCGATGGTTTAGTGGAGTCCCAAAGCTCAATTCCGTAAGTCCAAATAGATCTTATTATTGTCATATATATGAGTCGTTTGTAATTGATTGAAAGCTTAGGGTGTTTGTCTAGTAAGTGCTGCAGTAGTCGAAAAACGTGGGCGGTTTCTAGTCGTTCCAGTCTGGTATGGGGGTTCCAAGTGAGTCGTTTGTCAAAGTGGAGTCCTAAGTATCGGTCTTGTTCGACAGGGATATGAAGGCTATTGTTGAAGGATACTGTAGTACAGGAAGTCATAGGTTTATGACGGAGAGTGAAGGCAATTTGATGGGATTTATTTTAATCCTCCAGTTTTGACACTAGTTTTCAAGACTTGTGATGTGTGATTGAAGAGTTTGGGATACAATAGATGGATTGTTATTAACTGATAGGATACACGTGTCATCGGCATGGAAAAAATATAGAAACAAAAAATATAAATTGAGGCCTAGGAGGTCCTGAAATTTCATTATTCCCACTTTTCGAGGCGGATATCAAGTACTGGTACACTGTCAGCTATTGATGCTTTTACCCTAATAGATTTTTTTTGGAAATCAAGATAAGTAAAAACAGTCAATAAATCCAATGATGAAATGATTTTATTTCAAAAACGAAACTAATTATTTTTAAAAAAGCTTGAAAATAAGTTTGTTTTCGAAAGTAGGCTCTTTTGTTTTTTCTTTAACTTGAGTTCTTAAGGGTTTTTAAAAAATAATTTATAAAAAGTGTTTATCCATTTTATTCAAACAAAATTAAAAATAAATTGAATTTACGATACCATTGTTGTAAAATAAGTCAATCTTTTACAATACAATATTTATAAGTTTTGAACTTCATTTTGTTGGAGGATTTTTTTTTCTAACTGTTCACAAAATAATTTATAACTTCTCTAGAAATTTCCACAAAAAAGCGTGTATAATTGTTATTTGAGGTGGTAAAAACAAATTTAAACTTTATTCCTTCATAAAAACATTTTAAAAAATACTTTAGATAAGGAGGCGGTTTAGAAAAATATATAACAGATAGTTATAGTAAGAGTAAAATATTAGAACTAATTTGACTAAAGTGACCTACCAAAGTTGGGGTAACGATTTTTTTTAAATGTAAAAACAAAGTAATATTATGGATAATTAAAATTTCTTTTTGCTAACAATTTTTGCCTAAATTGGCCCCTAGAAATGTTTTGCATTCAATACTGTAAGTAATTTTATTTTCTTATTATGTACAAAACAAAAAAAAATAAAAATAACAGATAAATAGTAAGATAGAAACATGATAGAAGTAAAAACATCAGCAAGGCGGGATTAAAAATATGAAAAAACGAATGTTTTTTGTTATATATTCACAAAGTAATAACATTTATAATATACAAAATTATTGCATTAAGATACAATTTTTGTTAATAATCTTTACAATGAGGATGAAATGCTGAAAAATTCTCTCACTAACAGTGTGCAGGTCCGTTTTTTTTTTGTTTCAGAGATATTTGTTAATTCAATGCAAAAATTAGTGAAGACTCAATAACAGGGCTTCCTAGGCATTCTATGAACAGTACGATCATATGATCTAGCGATCTCTATGGTGTTGGCGTGATACTTATTTAATTGATTTAACTGACACTTACTTCTGTTTTAACTTTTAGCAATTCTTAAATAATACTTAAATATTCCAAGAAGTCCAGTACCCTTAAACTCTATTTATAGATTGTTATGACACTTTTTGATTTTATTTCATGTTTAATTTTCTGTAAAGAAGCATGTGACTCTAATTTTAAGTCGTTTCATTTATTAAATATAAAATGGAAAAGTGGATTTAGGAATTATTACCATATTTTAAGTAGTTCAAAATAATCTTTAAGACTTTTTAAAATGTTTTTATTTTTTAATATATTATTTATTTAATATAATTATTTAATTATGAATTTTATAATTATTAATTATTTATTTATAAGACTTATGAATAACCATTGCATTAATTTTAATATACTTTAATTTTGTTCTTTATCTTTATTTTTTTTTTCAGCTTACTTGGGCTGACATCGTGGTTTTGACTCTTGGTACCTATCTATGTGGTATATTCAAAGTAGATATTTTAGCGGATTTTCCAAAACTGAAGGAACACCGGCAAAAGATTTCTGAATTGCCAGTAATCAAAGAGTGGCTTGAAAAGCGACCTGCAGACCCAGAAGATTATAGGTTGTTATAACATAGTTAATTTTGAATATCACTAAATTAATGATGTTGTAATTGCCAATCTGAAGATATAATGTTATGAAAAATATAATAGCCTATTGACAATGTATTATTATTAATAAACTATAATTAATTCTAACTGTAAACTATAATGATATAACAATTATTCATTATTAAGTTTTTCATTGGCTTTTGATAATACTTCTATGACCATTTGCTATGCATTTCTCCTAAATAATTGACGTATGTCATAATTGGTAGATTCTACCAGCAAAAATGAAAATATCAAACCATGTATTTGTCCAATCCTATCTAATTTACTATAATTTTGTTTATCTTACTAATATTCTAAATATACGTTTACACATTTTACAAAGTACAGTAACAGGGTTTATAAATGACATGTTTCTTAAGCTTGAAGCAGCAGCTCCAAATAATGAATATTCCAAGTCCGAAGATACGTTTTAACATTTCACAAACTATGAGAAACGCAAATATTTGAAGTGGTTTTTTCTCTAGACTAGTGTTTATTTCATCTAATGAATCTTGCTAGTTTTTGCACTTATAGGCTTTTGCAGGTGGTTTTCGATGTGTTATTTAGGTACATAAGTAGCTAGATGTGACAAGTTAGCATCAAATCTTATTTATCATCTAAAATCCCACAACTGAAATTAGTGAAATCACAGAGAGACATTTCTTCTATTATAATATAACATATTATATGAGCCTTTCATTTGACAGAATGACTAAATCCAATTTCAACATTTTTGAGTAAAGTCATTTTATTGATATTTCTAGTTGGAAAATTTATATCTGTACAGTAGATTCCAGAGTAGGTGATTGCAGTGTTGAAATATAAAATTGTGAATAAAGCCATACTTTTTTCCACTGGAAATATCTCTAAAATTAATCTCTCTATTATATAAAAATGCTTTTAGTGACTTTCATTTTTATTTTATAATAGTATTAGGATAGTAGGAGTTTACAGGAGCTCTCCTATTAGCTCTATAATTACCACTAATTATAAAACTGTTTATTTAATTACATGTATGTAAAGTTCCTGTAAGCTCCTACTATCCTAATACAAAATTGAAATTTACACAATATAATTTACAATGAAAATATTAAAAATAAAAGGCTCAAATTGATGTTGGGCTTATATAAAGCTGAACAAGTTGAATATATATTATGGTTACAAATTTGCAATAAGAATAATTATAATAATATAAATTGGCAATAAGGCGAGATATATAATATAGATTTTTAAAGAAATTAAAAATTTGTCCAAACTGTGGTTTCGTTCCGTTTATTTTATGTTGATAAAAAATAGCACAATCTGAACTACAGAACACATGTAAAATAAAGTTATACCATTTCAGCAATGACTAGAACAATTAAATGAATAGTTGTATAATTTGTAAAATGGAGGGTTGGTCCGCTGTTAGGCGGATAGGAGGCACCCTCCTAATAATAATGAAAAATGTTGAAATTGGAATTAGTTATTCCCGTCAACTGAAAGGCTCATATTACAACTAAATGTTTGGGAAGAAGGTTAATTATGGTTACAATTATATTTGAAATTCACAACTAATTTTAATGTAGTGCTAAAATATTACAAGTTTAACCATGCTAAATGCTAGTGTTATTAATAAATTAATACTATTATGTTCTAATAATTCTTCTAATCCATCGTTCCAAAAACATGTTCAGCCATAGAGAGCCTTCATCTGACAGAAAGTGACGAAGGCAGATATAGCACTTACAACAAACTGGAACATATAAAAACATTTTAAAGCAGGTAATTTTGAATTATCTGTGATTTGAATGAACCATTATCATAAAAACTACAAAAATAATTTTTATAGAAGAATAGGTAGGATAAAAACCTAGTTTTCCACACCCAGTGCAGTAATTGATGAAGAATATTAGGTTCATTCTTATATCATTTGACCATTTAGCATTTCTGCTCAAATATTAGTATAGATGCCCTAGATAACAAACTTTCTTTTTCTATTTTTTTTTTAAATCATAGCTTTATTAATATAGACTAAAATATACACAAACTTTAGTAATATATTGGAAAGATATAATGGTTAGGGTTATGAATATAATAAAAATAAAAGTAAATTATAAATATTTCAAGTGAACATGACAAAATAAAAATAGGTGTTGCTGTAGACCACACGATAGAAGTGAAAACATCAAAAAGATGAGATTAATAATATGAAATATAAATGATAAATAATAGCTCATTATAAGGAGGATGAAATGCTACCTCACCCCACACACTCAATGCGACCTCACTCACTGTATGCAGGTTCGATTTTAGTGTCTGAGATATTTTAATTCATAACTTCAATAAAACTCGTTATCATTTGGTTTTCGTCAATATTTTTTCCCTTTTTGTCTCTCTAACGAGGTGTCGTGTTGTATAAAATTTTGAATAATAGCTCATGAAGAAGATAATGAAATGTTGAACATTCCTTCGCTTACAATTAGCAGGTCCGATGTTTTAAGTGATAACTTCTTAATTGGACCTGATTTGCACTTTTTAGTGGAGGGTGAATTAGATTGAGTCGTCAGATTTCCTGTAACGTTAGGGTCATGTCGGCTGGAGTCGACTAATTGAAGTGTTTTATCATGTGGATTAAAATATCTCAAAAAGTAAAAATCGGACCTGCATACTGTCACAAAGGAAAATGTTCATCATTTCATCCTCTTTGTATTGAGCTATAATTGAAAATTGTATATTAACGCTACGTCGTGTTAGAGAGGCGAAAAGAGAAAAAATAGTGCTGAAATCCAAATGATAAGGAGTGTTCGATCACGGTAATTTGGTGTGAGCCAAATATTACCCAATGATCTACAAGTGAATTTTGAACATTGGTGTGGACTGTATGAGATTGGGTAACTGAAATTTGATGCTTGATTAAATTAAACAAAATATTGAGAACATGATTATATAGTATATAATTGAATAAAATAAAATAAATGAAATTAGTGCCTTTGTACAATTGTGTGGTTTTTTACAGATTAATTACATATTGCTTGATTGTCAATTTGGACTCACTTTCTGTCTTATATTGCGCTTCTTGGTTTTGGCCACCTCTTCTTCCACCCCATACTTCCTCCACCAGGCTGTTCTCTTAAACTTTAGGAACTCATATTTTGTTTCCTTGTCATTTCTTCAGAGAGTACCTTTCTGTATGCACACTTCACCAAATGAACAGATTAACTCTACAGGAATGGTTTGGAGCCAAATGGTGGCCATAAAATGGTGGTGAAGTTCTGAATTGTACAATTGTTATTTTTTGTGTTTCAGGGGTTGATCGCTGAACGAGTTTTATTGAACATACGGATTAAAATATATATCAGAAACTAAAAATCGAACCTGCATACTGTAAGTGAGTGAAATGTTCGGCATTTCATCCTCTTTATAATGAGCTATTATTTCTAAGTTATATTTAATATTATTAATCTCGCCTTGTTGATATTTTCATTTTTACCGTTTGGTCTAAAGCACATATCTTAGTTTTTAGTTTCTACGATATTTTAAGAAAATGTAAAAAATAGTTAAATCGAGCCGATTCTCAAAAAAAGTTCTAAGCGCACCTAAAGGAGTTTTACATCTTCTAAATTAAAAGAGGATACTCACTGCAGCGTAGTTCTCCCTGTTGAGGAGGAAGACGGGTGCCCGGTAGGCAGTGAGCCTTATCGGCCTGGAGGACATCATGATGACCATCCTGACCAGGGATGAGTGCCCCTTCTGCATCCGGTACCAGGGAGTATCATAAGCCACCTGTGCCAAGTTCTGTGCCTGTCGGGTTCATCGATATTACTTTACTTTCACTTACCTATATACTAGTAATATATAGTAGTAAAGTAAAGGAAAGTAGGTATGTCGACTGAGGATTGAGGAACGGCCCAATAGATGTTAATCAACATTGAGAGAAGCTACCGCGAAGAGAGGAACAGGCGGTGGGTAGTGTTGTCCAAATTCGGTCTTGGTCTTGCACTTTGTAAGACCAAGAACAAGAAAGGTACAAAAAAAAAAAGTTTCTGTGAATAAAAATTAAGGCAAACTAGTTACTGATACTTGGCAATTTTAGTTACTTTGTGTAAAGAATTGATATAACCAACATACTTTTGCATTTATTTCTTCCAATTTTTCTTTGGGGCTTGGTTAGGCTTCTCCTATCTGAAAAATTACAGTAATATCTCTATTGTAATAGAGTAAAATTTTTCTACAATAGTCTACATCACATTCTCCTTCACTGCCCAGAATACAATGACTATAGACAAAAATTCCTTCAAAGCTTCATCTCAGAATCTTCTGATAACCACATCATCGAAATCATATTGAATATCAATTGTATAGATAAGTTAAATAAAATTTACTATTATATGATGGGAGTACACAAAGTGCATACGCAAAATTGTTGATCATAGCCCATGTTCTATTAAGTGTTTGTTTTTAGTTTATCTTAAAAGTAATATTTTGTTTATATTTATAAATATTTTTATTGTTTCTATAATAGTAACATGTTCATATAACTATTATTATGCAGTAATCGTTTTATCTTTTTAATTGTTATTGTTATTCATGTTTTGTAAAACCCATAAAGAATAAGTATACAGTTGCTTAAGATAGATAGGGACGAATTCCTTAATGGGCAGTGTTTAAGGCATGTAGTAGCATGTGCATGTAATATATTTTTATATGTACTTCGGCGACCTCCTCTCACAATTACTACGTTTATTTATGATCAGTAATTTTCAAATTTGCTGTGAAAATTTAACAATTTTTTTAATAATATAAATTCTTAAAAAAATTCAGTAAAAGTATGCTTTACTCTCAACCAAAATATTTATATACATCATCAAATTCATTCAAGTTATTACAAAATTATAGAAAATGAAATGTTCAATGAATTAGAAATTATAGTTAAATACATTGTAATTAATCAATGAAAATACTTTCATTTATATTGATATTTAAATATTAAAATCAAATATAATTAAATTGTTATTGTTTATCAATTTTATGTGAGAGTGAGGATTTCAGGGTCTTCAATCTACAGCAGCAAGCTCCTCTCATTACACACACACAAATTTTCTTATTGGAAAATTATAAATTTTTCTTAATTTGATTTTTTTTTTCAAATTTTCTAAAACTTCTTATAATTATTTCTTTTTAAATATAATTTTTTTCTGATATTTTAAATTTAATATTACACAATAACTTGGAAAACCTTTTTATTTGCTTATAAGTCAGTTTTAAAAAATCATAAATAATTATAAAATTGAATAAATTAGGCACAAATGAGAGTCGAGAGCGACATGCATGTATGAAGAATGGCAGCACTACATGTGTACAAGAAATATAAAACGTGTGAGTACGGTAGCATGCTGTTGTTTGTTTTTATTATTATATTTTGTATATATTATTTTATTTGTATAATTAAATATGTAAACATTTTATATATTTAGGAGGGGGATTGTTTTATTTTTTAGTCATTAAGCTATCGAGTAATTTTCGTGTGTTCCAACACACAAATAAACAATTTAATAATATTTATTTTAAAGTTAATTCATTAATTATATTATACATAGAACTAAGTTAAAATGTTAATAAACTCTTTTATTTTTTTTTAAACATTATAATCATGTCATTTGGATATTAGTTGTTTTGAAATTATTAGTTTGGATATTTATTAGGACTTGAGCGGAGTAAAATATTTTATGGAGTTTTGAAAATCGGTTTTATTAGTTTACGAAATAATTCCAGCAGTTTTATAATCATAAATATTTTGTCGGAATATATATATGCTTGGTTTGCATCATACATTTTATACTGTTTACAAAATTGTGTATCCTGATTTATGTATACAAAAAAAAAAACTAAGGTGTGTGTTATAAACCACAGGGTAGAAGTAAAAACATCAACAAGGCGAGATTAATAATATGAAATATAAATTATAAATAATAGCTTATTATAAAGAGGATGAAATGCAGAACATTTCCATCTTAGAGCATGCAGGTCCGAATTTTAGTTTCAGAGAAATTTTGATCCATATTTTCAATAACACTTGTTATAATTTGTTTTTTGCCAATATTTTTCCCTCTTCGCCTCTCTAACACAGCGTCGTGTTAAGATAAAATTTTGAATAATATCACATTACATAGAGGATGACATTCTGTACAATTCTCTTGCTTACAGTATGCAGGTCTGATTTTAGTTTCTGAGATAATTTGATCCATATCTTCAATAAAACTCGTTATAATTTGGTTTCAGACACCATTTTTCCCTTTTAGCTTCTCTAACGTGGCATTCCGTAAAGATAAAATTTTGAATAATACCCCATTACAGAGAGGATGAAATGCTGAACAACTTCCTGGCTTACAGAATGCAGATCCCACTTTTAGGTTTTGATATATTTTAATCCATATGCAAAAACACTTCAATTAGCCGACTTTACCCGAGTGTTACACATCGGAAATCTGACGGCTCAATCTAATTCACTCTCCACAAAAAAGTGCAAAACGCGCCTAAAGAAATTTTCATTTCAATAACTCGTTAAACAAATATTATTTTGTAACTATGAAAATCGGAATTATCTTATAGTCATAATGTAACATATGTAGTTCATGATTACATTCATTTATATAAATACAATAATGTTTTTGTCAGTACATTTGAATAGAATAAACCCATTTTATGATATCTTTCCGTTTCATACATTGCAGATGCCAAATCCACTTTTAAAAAAATGTTGTCTGTCTGTATGTCCGCATAGCAACGAAATTTTGTCAGCGGTAAACTCAGAAATGGCTTATTGCAGAATTTTGACATTATATTAAGGTTTGCTTGACTTAAAACATAGACTTTAAATGAATACAAAATATTGAGTAAAACCAAAGTTATGAATTCTTCAGTAATTTGTCTAGAGATCCCGTCAGGCAGTTTGTTACTTCGATTCCCATTCCAACTTACTCTATCGCGAGCCAAATTTTAACTATACACACCCGTCAACGACGAGTTCATCAGCTAGCTTACCTGTATATAAAATAGTAAAGGTATGTATTGCGATCGTGGAAATTTTCGAGTCTGAGTTTTCAACGAAAATATATGTTTTGAGGTCTCTTGAGTCCAAATAACCAAGCCCCACAAAGTGGTCTGTGTTTGTGTGTATGTGAACACGGCCACTTTCCACAAAACAATAGTTAGATCAAATTTAAAATTACAGCTTTCTCGTATACAATGAAATGAAATGCTCGTTAATATAAAGGGTGCTTCGGACTTAATTGGCTAAATTTCCAAAATGAACTAAGGACCTCAAAACAAGAAAAAAATTTCTCTGAAGGTATGTCCGCAAACGCTTTGTTTAGGAGAGATTCCCACCTAAATATTTTCGTTGCTATGAGTTATTTACGTTATATGAAATAAATAAAACCTATTTATCTGTTCTAAATAATTAGGTGGTCCTCCTGATTACGGAAGAGGTCCACGACAATGGCTAAATATTAATTATCCCAATCATGGATTGTCCGTGCAACAACAGTGGCTTGGCCTGCACGCTCTCTAGACCTGACATCACTGGATTGTTTTGTTTGGGGTGACATTAAACAAAATGTCTATGTAAGTCCGTTCAATGTCCTTAATTCCTTACGAAGAGGGATAATTGAATTTTGTGAAACATTAACACATATCCAGTGCCGTTACGACACTAAACCCTGAATATAATAATAATATTAATAAGTTGAATATAACCCAACAATTACCTCCGCTGTGAGCTGGTCAGCTGTGTTGGCCCAGAGGAAATAATAGACCAGAGTGATCGAAATGAAGACGGTGATAGTGAGCGACTGCAGCAAATTCTCGTTGTCTTTCTGCAACAAAACGTTACTGACTATGATACAAACCACAAATCTTGAGGCTATAACTATTAGTTGATAAGTATTAAAATGAAAACAAAAAAACAGTTTCGAAGTTACCAAAATTTCAAGATTTGATTAGCAGCTTAACGATGAACTCAAAATTATTTTACATTAATCAGCATTGTTCTAAAATATTTTTTGTTCTTCACCGTATTTTAAATATTTTTCAGTGAAATATAAAAATAACGCACGATTTAAATATTACAAAATTGAAAAATCATTAAAGAGTAGAACCTTAAGGAGACTGACTATCTGCCTGAAGCTTCTCCCAAAATAGCAACATTTTATTATTGGAGTTAAACTTTCAGCTTATCATCATATATTTTGTTTTGTTTTCTATTGCTTCATTTACCTCAATAACAAGATCTGCTTAAAAGGAAAATCATTAGAAAGAGTAGAAGAGTTCAAACATCTCGGCTCCACAATAACCTCAACGAATGACCTACCGTCAGAAATAGACCATCGCATAACTAACCCAAACAGAGCTTTCAAAGTTATTAAAATCCCAAAAAAATTCAAATTAAGAGTGTACAATGCTATGATAAAACCATTTCTAATAAATATATGGCTGTGAAACCTGGACACTAACCAGCATCCCAGTGCTGTAAAAGTAATACAATAGTAAAAGTATTGAAAGATTAGAAAGAAAAATCCTCCGCACGATAAGTGGAGCGATCTGGGATCAAGGTACTAACACATGGAGAAGAAATACCAATAAAGAACTGCTTACAGAAACTGGTCATTAATATCCCATGTTATGAAGGCAAGGAGGTTAAGATGGGCGGGCATGTAGCTCGTAGCAATCCATCTGGATGGCAAAAGATCTACAAGTTCTGTAGGCTCTAGTGCCCTCTTTCAGTCTCCATTGGCTTCTAATACTAGTGATTCGGCTGAGAAAGTGGCACTGGGATCTCCTGGAGTCTTGCTTTGCCTTCCACGTGTGGGAGAAAAAGCCTGGCTCTGAGATTCCTGGGCGAATGTATATATTGTATATAGGTATGATTGTGTTTAGAAGTTTCTATTTTATGTTATTTGTTTACTTTTTTTTTCTTTTATTTACTTTCTTCATCAGTATTATTTATTTACTTTTTATATTTATATTTATTTCTCTATTATTTGTATATATTGTTTGAATGAGAACTTCTAGCCTTAATACTTATAGCCCTCCAACAGTGGCTGATTGTATTATTATTCAATTAAAAGAAAACAAAAAAAAAAAAACAAGTTCTGTAATGCCAACAGAAAAAAAAAATCATATATATATATATATATATATATATATATATATATATATATATATATATATATAAAATAATATTTGTTTTAACCCTCAACCATTATTAGCTGAAGGCGATGCTGTTGGATTAAAAATATATGAAAATAAAACAAAATACATGTTAATAAGTTTGAATAGTCGCTTAGAACAAGACAAGATTTGATGATAGAAGGATCCTTTGAACACGTAAAAGCGAACGAAATTAAGGAATTGCTCTCTGCTTACCATGATCTGAACAAAACTAAAGAAATGCTCTATGCTTACCATTGAAATTATGGAGTTTCTCTCTCCTTACCATTTAAATTAAGGAGTTCTCTCTCCTTACCATTTAAATTAAGGAATCGCTGTCTGCTTACCATGATCTGAACAAAAGTACCGCAGACGACGATGCTGATAACAGTGACATAGTAAATGATGACAACTGGGGATGAGATGAGTATCAGTTCGTCTACGCTCCTGTAACCGAAAAATATTACATGTTTTCCACTATATCTCTTATCATATACATCTCTATATATATACTACATATCATATCATTTATATCTCTTATCAAGATATCTCTAATCATGTCGTTCACAAGCGGATCTGAAGAGTTCATGACCGAGGGCATATCAACTATCGATTTCTTAACAGCAAATTGTTTTTAATTATTTTTTTCTAAAACTAATTTACAATCCAGATACCTACCCTTTAGGGATCGTAATAAATAATTTGAGCCACGTGTACATGTAGAATACTTTTATGAAATTCAATGAATAATTTTTGAATAAATACCCGGGGAATTATGCCGAATTAAAAGTTCAACCGGGCATCGGGGTTTGAACTCGCAAGTATTTGTTTACCTCAAAACATTGATTATCAGATCGGCGGCAACACACGGTGCTGTGCACACGCGTTACCCTGATCGGCCACCCCGCCCCCGAGATATTCTTCAACAAAGCAATAACGTCACTATAAATTGAAACGGCCCCTTTATCTCCTTTACTTACTTGATGCTCAATCGATAAGTTACCGTGTTTTATCCAGCAATGTTCAGAGAAGAAGAAACTTCATTTTGGCTCTGTAATCAAATTGTTCGAAAGAAATATTCTTAAATTTAGTTTCTTAAAAGAATCCATTTTGACTAAACGTTCATATGGAATTAGAAGACCAATATGTATTTGTATAAATGGTGCGTGTTTTGTGTAGGTGTAGCCCATATTTATAGAATAAAGAGGAAAAGCGCAGAGACTCTTTCTATAATCTAATGTTACAATATAACTTGGTTCCTATACCAATCTAGTTTCTAAAGAAATATATAATACTTACTTCAAAACAGACTGATGAAGTTTGATCCATAGTTTCAGTTTTTTGTCGATGAAAGCGTTGTCCCCAATGAGAAAGTCCTTCTTCATAGAAGTCATCGCTAGTGAGAGATACTTGAGGAATGCGATTTCCATCTTGAACAGTGAAATGAAGAGACAATCGGTCACTACCTTCTTGCATATCGATGTGATCATGCAAGCGGCTACCAAAAGAACGACGACTTCGTAAACGATTGGAGCTCTCTCGTCGAAAGGACTTTCAATGAGGACGGGGAAGTGACTCCGATACTGGCCAGCGAACCAGTCCAACACGGGTACCGAGAGGCAGTAGATGAGCGTAGGTATCGTGCCCAGAATGAGGGAGTACTCTACGAGGAAGGACATCAACTTGGCGTTCTTGTGGTAGAGGCGGAGGAAGGACTTCTCTTTCCCGAGACCACTGCGGATGATGTCCTTAGCGATGTTGTCCATTTTGTCAGTGAGCCTCTTGAGGCGGTCTCTGAATCTCCATTGGTGGATGGTGGCCAGGAAGCCACTCAAGTAGTTGGATGTGCTGACTCCCAGCCCGCAGAGATCCTACCAACAGACCAATGAACAATACTTTATTTAGAAATAGAAATTTTTTTTTTATTATTTTAATGAAATTTACAACTGTATTACATAGAGAATACAATAAGTAAATTTGAAATTGGTAACATGGCATGTACAATATGAAGAGAAACTACCCATTGGTAGAACTCAAAAGAAATAGAAATAAAAATAGAAAATCATCTTTATTCTGGGACTAGATCCCTTGAGAATAACAATATTGTTTAAACCAATTGACAATAAATCTGGCCAGATGACCAATTATAATAAAGAGTAACTACAGTCTAAGTAATATAATGAGTATATACATAGTTCTGGAGGGTATATTAAGGAAAGCAGATGTTGTTGAATGTTTTGAATAATGTACTGTAATTTGTTTCTTTTTGTGTGATCTTGGTGAGATATTGTAGCATAAGTGTTTAGCGAAATGAAAGAACATACCTGAAAGGGAATATACATGGTCATGATGGTGTAGAAATAGCAGTTGAGAATGTAAGCAACCAGCGCCATCAGCAATATGTCGTAGACCAGGTTGAACAACCTCCAAGTCGAAGCACTCTTGTCGATCCAAGGTGTTGGCATTCCGCATCTCCTCAGCCCCACCAACAAGGATCTGGTAAACAATACACAAAATTCAATACTCGATAGTTAGCCACTGAATATAAATCCACAACTTCCAATTGGCAATAAGTTACTGATATACAAGACAATCCTGAAAACATATAGTCCAGTCAAGGAGTGATTATAGAAGGAAATGGCGGGGATACAATTTTTGATTTTGGGACATTGTTTGGTTTAGTAAGGAGGTAAACATACTAAAAGTCCCCACTCCTAGGTGGTGAGCCAGATGTGGGTGAGGGGCGCCTAGAAAGTCACTTATATCCGGAAAACTATCCATCGCATCGACAAAGATGCTCTATACAAAATTAAAGCTGATAATATTCGCAATAAGATTGAATAAATACGTTTTTCGATACCTCGCTTAGTTTCTGAGATATCCGACATCTCTCCAATGTGGATAATAAATTAATTTCCCTCGTTTTGTTTTTACTGTATTTGACTAGGAAATCTTGAGTCCTTCGTTCTACGATTAAGTCATGTAAAAGAAAGTTTTTAATAATTAAATTTTCTTCACGAATATGTATTATTTGACTAGTTTATCTCCAACGGTTCAAAAAAAAAATTGTATTTATTTATTTATTCATGATATTTACAACTGTATTAAAAAATTAAATACATTAAGTAAATTTGATAACAGAAAATAATAACATGAAATGACTTGTTGAGGAACTACCCACTGGTAGCACTCTAAAAACAAAATGTATTTACAATAAGAGATCTCGAGGCCATCTTCTTTTCAGACGCCTCGGAGGGTTATCAGGAATAGAAGAGGAAGCAAGGTTAGAGACGAGAGGATTCGGATGGTTCTGAAGTTTATTATGGAAGGATTGGTATCTGGATTGGGCCAAATCGGAAACATAAGGAACATTAAGGTCATTATGGATTATTTTATTGGTGACAAAGTAAGGAGCATTGAGGATTTTCCGAAGGATTTTGGATTGTAAGGATTGGATACGAGAGGAATTCGATGGCTTAGTGGAGCCCCAAAGCTCAACTCCGTAAGTCCAAATAGGTCTTTTGTAATTTAAGTCTTTTGTAATTAACTGGGAGCTTAGGGCTTTTGTCTAGTAAGTGTTGGAGTAGTCGGAAACGTCAAGCGGTTTCTTGTCGTTTCAGACTGGTATGAGGATTCCAAGTTAGACGTTTGTCCAAGTGAAGTCCAAGGTATCGGATTTGTTCAACAGAGATAAGTGGGGTATTATTAAACGATACTGTGGGACATGAGGTCATAGATTTCATAGGTTCAAAAATTAGATCAATTATAAATTTATATGGAAATTTTGAAAATTTGCAGACAAAATTAATTTTCATAATATTTGTTGTTTTATATATATATATGAGTATATACGTAGATGCTTGGATGTCTAAGTTAGTTAGAGCAAGATAATAACATTACTCAATAAATAAATAAATAAAAATAGTCGGCAGTTGTATAATGAGAAAAGAAAGATCTCTAGAGTTGAAGAAAGATCTAATGAGTTTTAGAGTTCATAGAAAAAAAAAAAAAAAAACTACGATATGCGCTTTGGAGCACATGATAGAACAAGCCGAGATTAATAATATGAAATATAAAGTATAGATAATAGCTCATTATAAACAGAATGAAATGCTGAACATTTCCCTTGCTTACAAATGCTGAACATTTTTCTTCACTTATTTCATATCTTCAATAAAGCTCGTTATCACTTGGTATTCGACATTATTATTTCTCTTGTTGCCACTCTTACACGGCGTCGGACTAAGATTAAATTTTGAAAAATAGCCCATTGCTGAAATGATGAACATTTCGATCGCTAACAATATGCAGGTCCGATTTTTATTTTTTGAGATATGTCAATCCAAATGCAAAAACACTTTAGTTAATCGACTCCAGCTGATTTTACTCGAGCGTTACACATCGGATATCTGACGGCTCAATCTAATTCACTCTCTACAAAAAAAAAATATTATTACTAATCAAATTAATAATATGCAATAAATTTGAAATCAGAGATACATCCTCAATTCTTAAAATAATATTTTAACATATTCTTTCTATTATGAGGCTTGCGTTTGATATTCAAAATATTACAAGAAATAATTTTGTGGAAGATGGAAATTAATATGTAGATAATTGTTGATATTTCATAATACCGACATAACCTAACCTTGTTATTAAACTTTAACTAGCTGATAAAATGTCGGGTATTAATTAAATAATATCGACAATCCGCAAGTAAAAAACGCGTCTAAAGAAGTTTTAATTTAAAAATATAGTGAAAATAATTTTATTCAGCCTACGTTCCGACCTAACTATACAGGTCTTCATCAGGACTATGGTCAGGAAACCTTTAAATAGACTAAACTTTAAATGTAAACTATTTGTGTATATTCCAGATGACATAAAAAAGACGATGGTATTATAAAATTCTTACCGATCAGAGGATTTCAACGATATCGATTTATCCTTATTCCTGATAATTAACCATTCATCGGCAATGCAGTATTGAAAATTCAGAGAAGAAAAAAAAAGAGAGAAAATTCAACTTAGAATGAAATATATTATGGATGCGAACAACTGAAGCCGTTGTTTCGAAATACCTGTTAAATATTTAATCTTTTCCCAAGAACTAAATTTATAATTAGTAGAATATTCGTTTACTTTACGCCCTGTAAATATATTGGGTTGACAAATAACTCCTTTAGGTTTTTCTGTTCATTTTTATGTCACTATGATCTACTTCTTATCTGATGAAATAATCCCTAACTCTTGTTGAAACTAGCTTAGTATTGTGTTTGCTATAGCATTGTGAATATGGAAGAAAATATCATTCATTATCGGTATATTTTGTTGGATTATTTCAAAAACGATAAGCGTGCTGCAGAAGCTCATAGAGAAATTTGTAGTGTTTATGGGGATGATGCCTTAACCGAACGCACCTGTCAAATTTGGTTTGCCAAATTTTATTCAGGAATTTTGACATCAATGAAGCTCAATGGTCTGGTCGCCCACATGAAATTGAAACGAGCAATGTTAAGCCATTGTTGATCAAAATCCCACCCAATCAGTGCGAGAGATTTCTATGGCCCTATATGTGTCGCACAGAAGCGTAGAAAATCATTTGTACAAGTTCGGCTATGTTTCCAGGCTTAGTGTTTGGGTCCCTCACTCTCTAACCGAAATTCACTTAGCAACACGGAAACAATAAGAAAACGACCCATTTTTGAAAAGGTTGGTAACAGGAGATAAAAAATGAATATTTTACAATAATGTAGTCCGTAGAAAATATTTGATTCGGGGACAAAGTCCCTCGAGAATAACAAAATTAAAAGATTACATCTGATTCAAGTAAAAACAATAGAAAAAAGAAAACGTAAAGAAAGTAATACGTAAACATGTTAATAAAACTATGACAAGACACTTAAAACTATTTACAGTAATAATAGTAAACATATTCACTTTTAAGAGAAAAAATAAAGAAAATATAAAAATACATTAAATTATTTTTTAAAATATTCTCTGTGTTTAAAAAAAAAAGAAAAAAGAAAGCTGAATCGGGCAATATAAAAAATAACAAAGAGAAGAATAGTTGTGGTGTTCAGTCAAAAAGGAAGGAAAAAAATAAATGATATTATTTATTTTTTACTTATTTTATTTTTTACTTTTTTTATATATTTTATTTTTTTAAAATAAAAAATAATAGTTATAAGCAAAAAATAGATGTGTTTAATGGTATCAACCGCAGGAAAATCTTGTACTATAAATCTTGTACCCAAGCAAAATACAACATTAATATTTGATATGAATGTATAATGTCGAATGGTTACTTACTATCTCACTGTATTAGGGATAGAAATTGGAACAGGAGGGTTTTGAATGTGGATATGGTGGAGGGGGAATGCCGAATTTTGACATGGAGGTAATTCCAGAGTGAGCCATAAAGGAGTTTTGGAATAAGGCAGATCTGTGAGAAGGGATATAAAAAAAAGGAAGCTCGAGATCTTGTGGAACGGAGACGGATGAACTCACTTGAATTGGAGAAGGTTGTAGGCGTAAGAAGGACGATGGTTGTTGATGATTTTATAAAGGAACGTACCTAGGAAATATTGTCTTCGAAAGGAGGGTAAGAGCCACCTTAACCAAGTGTAGTGGTGAGAGACATGGGAATATCTCGGCGCCCCAATTACAAATCTTACACAACAGTTCATTAGTCTTTTCAGTCTATCATGGAGTTCCTCCGAGAGGCCATCATACACATAATTTTAATAGAATCAATTACAATATAGAAATAGAATATATTAAAAGAATCAAACTTAGAGCTGCAGTGTAAAAAGACGACTTACTAAAACGTTGAAAAGCGCTCTAAAAGAATAGGCTACATCTCAAATATTTACCTAGCACTTTAAAAAAATACACAATGACTGTCATCTTTAATGCGTCAGTGAGCGCACACTGGAGCCGAAAGAGCGTTTTGGGGAAAACATTTACTATTTTCTACGAATCCTTACAGAGAATATTATCCTTAATACAAAATTTTCTATGGATAAGGGATCGCCAAGTCAAACTTCTGTATTTTTTTTTAAACTTCATTTTATTGAGAAATGATACATCTTGCCGTAATTAAGGGCATTGAGAAAAAGAAAACTTAATAAGACAAAAGAAGTGAAAATTGAGACAACATCAAAGAAAAATATAAAAATACATTAATACTTATTTACAATATTTACAGTCAGCCGAGGGAGTTCCGGCCCTTTTCTCCACGTGTGGAGGATAAGGCAAAACTCTAAGAGATCCCAACGCTTCTCTTTCATCCGCATCACTGGGATGGAAATACAATGGAGAAAGAGAGAAGGCACTAAAGCCACATACGCTCATAACTTGAGTGGAGAAGCTGGCCATTTACGTCCAGTGACGTATTTACAAAAGATTTCGAGGTCACTGCCGTTTCAATCTTCGAGGGTTCGGATGGTGGATTAAGTTC